CTCTCTCTATCTTGAAACTTTGTAATTTGAACGGTTGTGAAGTTTAGAATATCCCATATATAAACTTTTTCTCGTATGAAGTGCCTATGTTTCTCTTTTTCAATGTGAAACCTGAATTTGGGCCCTATGTTGGTCAATTAGAGGGTTTTTCAACATTTAAACAACATTTTCCGATGGATTTTTGAAATGCGTCTTTAGTTCTACATTATAAGGTTGCAACCTTATATAAAAATTTTCTCATATGGAGTGCCTATGTTTCTCTTTTTCAATGTGAAACCTGGATTTGGGCCCCATGTTTTGGACCAAACGCTACTATGAGTGCAAAACCTGGATATGCAAATCTTGATTTGGCCTATCCGAGGTTCCCAAACGACTCATTAAGTTGTTAGGGTTCAATAGGTTAGATCCCAAAGTTTGGGACTGTGAAAATACATCTAAATAGGGAAGAGATGAAATGCTCATTAGGGGCATTAGGGTTTGTATGGCTTACTTTCAAAATAAAAGTAGAGATCAGAGCTATGGAATTCTTGACAGATTCCTAAATAGCATCATAGACTTCTAAAGAACCTTTAAATAATTGTAGATCTATTTTTGTCTCAAATATATGAATTTAGAGCTGCGAGCATAAGTTTTTTTATTTTTGCATGGTTTTAATGATAAAAAACACTATAGATTGGGTAATTTTTTAAGATTAAAATAGAAGTCGGAAAAAGCACAAATGGACCTTTTCAAGATTCAAAATACTTCCCTTTTTTTTTTCTTTTTCTTTTGAAAATTCATACTGCCGCAATGGACCCGCTAGAAGAAATTAGTCCACTAAAATAGGTCAAGGGACATGAGTAAAACCTAGCCTTTAATACATTTTTTTTTAAGGGGAAATATCATTATACCCTTTATTTTTTGTTTTCATATCTTAATAGACCCAAAGATTCAAAATATATCTTCTAATCCCTTAACTAACTTTATCCACTTTTAACTAGTTTTTTAGCCTTAACAAATATAAAAAAGATTTGCTCATCCCAAATCCTTCATCTCTTTACGTGATTTATTCCCCCCAAATTTCTCTCTCTCTATAATATTCCCCCCTCTTTGTCTCTCTAACCAGAGAGAGAGAGTGAGAGAGACATGGGAGGAGAGAGAGTGGAAAAATAAATAAAGAGAGATTTAGATAAAAATCATATGAAGAGATAAAAATGATGGTCTTTAGAAAAGATGGTGTTTAGAAAGGATATGACTTCCTTATTTTTATTTGGGGCAAAAGAATAGGTTTAAAGATGATAAAGTTAGTTCAAGGAGTTAAAAGATATAAAACTTTGAATTTTTACGATTTAACATATGTTTTGAAACCTTGGGTCTATTGAGATATAAAACTTAAAAATGTGGGGTATGGAGATATTTTCCCTTTTTTTATTTAATTGTTTGTGATATTATTGGGACGTCACTTGGTGTGACGGTAAAAGGCTCGGGTAGCCAACACAAGAGTGCGGGGTTCAAGTCCTGAAAGCGGCCACTTTGTGCATGAAAAGCCAAAGATTATGACCGTTTCTAGCTCACGACAAAAGGCTCGAGTAGCCAGAGCAAGTGTGTGGGTTCGAGTCCTAAAAGCGGTCACTTTGTGCATTAAAAGCCAAATATTATGACCGTTTCCCAAGTGTGGGTTCGAGTGCCAAAAGTGGTCACTTTGTACTTTAAAAGCCAAATATTAGGACTGTTTCCCAAGACCGGCATCGGGTTACGGCTCTTTTAATTGTTTGTGATATTATCTAAGCAAATAAAATTATCACATTTTTACCGATGGCCAAATATTATATCGATAAAAAGAAATCCAATATTACTGAAATTCTACTTTTAAATTATAAATAGTAAATAAATTCATAAAAATAAATTTAAAATAGGAAGATAGGGAGAACTCCCTAAAATATAAGGGATCTAAAACTGTTAAAATAATGATATTAAAATCAAGTTACTTTGGTAGGAAGTGTTCGAAATTTTGAATTACAAAAAGTATAGCTTACTTAAAACATTCATCCATTTTTTTGAAAATTTAAATGTTACAATAGTGCAAAAGTAGAAATACATGTATATTAATTTTCAAAGAATATTTGCTTCATAATAAGTAATATATGATTTAATAAGTAAATTATTTCATAATTAATACTAAATCAATTTACAATAAATTTCCAAAGAAAAAGATGCACTGGACAATATCTTGATATAATACTCCTGCTTGGATAACCGTAATTATCACTAAATAGAGAAAATATATTTAGGGCAATCCTAATAAATAAAATTTCAATTTATAAGGAAAGGTTCCTAGTTTGTAATGAGATACATGAATATCTAAAAGATTATAATTAAATCACTTACTCTATGTTCCATTTGGATCCTAGGTTGTACAAGACCCACGTTTTGGACCAATCTAGTAGGCAATGAGCTTTCCCCCATGTCTCTCTCTCCTGCCATTAAAATCTAAGCTTTATCTCTCTCTCTACCATTAAAGTCTCAAATAGGTTTTCAGAAAACCTAATGTGATTTACTTTATGTAAGTTTGACCCTCTCTATGCTTCTTAAGTGTGAATTTATCTTCTAAAATTGCCTATAACTATATTTTAGTTATTTTCATTATAATTTATTATATTATTAAAATATTCTATTTAGAATACTTGCAATATGAAAAATATATAGAGAGACTCAAGTGTCTATTTTCTTTACAAACTAGGAATATTATTTGTCGTAATATACTAAACAAAAATCATCCAAGTTCATGATAAATAATATTGGATGTAAATATTTATTTTAATTAAAATTGATTATTTCTATATTTATGAAATTTACAATCATTATATGACCATTTCAATGAAAAGAGGTAAGATCCTAGAGCAAAGTGAGACTGTATTTTTCTTTTTTTATTTTGACTAAATTTCCACAGAGAGAAAGTAAATGCATATTTTCTATAATTATAAGGGTATTTTTTCTAATAATTTTAATTTGAGTAATGATCTTATGAGACCCTCCCATATTCATATGTATAGAACTTCTAATGATCACCATTAAATTTGACATAGATCTCTAGAAAAGTCAAGTCTCACACCCATGTGATAAGTTTTCTAGAGATATGTACCAAACTTAATGGTAATCCTTTGGGGTCCTACACATATGGGTGTGGAAGGGTCTCATAGGATCATTATTCTTTTAATTTATATAAATTTAAGGAAAATTTATCGACATACATATTACAAGTCCACTACTTAACATTTTACCCATGCCTTTTGATTTTATTTCAAAATATCCATAAATTACCCATGAGTTCGAATAGTTGAAAAAAGGTAAAATAGATAAATTATTAAAATTTTAGGTGTATTTTATAAAGGGTGTGGTTTGCATAGTAAAGCGCATATTCAAATAGTGTCGAGAAATGTGGTTTCAATACTGAAAATCTTTGTGATAGCCTTAAAATATATTTTCATCTTTAATTATAAAATTTAAAGCTTCAAAAATAGTGTAGATCGAGCAAATCTATGAAATCTTGAAAATCTTGCAAATTAACGGTCCAAAAATATGTTACAAGATGCACTATTTCCAAAACTTGAAAGCCATTTTTTTCTCATGTCCAAGCATGTTGATGTCAAGATAATCCATTTGAGGATATTTGGACATCAAAACAACCTCTTCTAGTGAAAATTTTGAAGTGGGCTCTAATTTGATGGTTTAGAACCTCAACACCATATAAACTTTTTTCTTTTATAAATTTTTTTAAATATAACAATTAAATTTTGATTTTTTAAAATGATTAATATTTTAGTGACAAGTGTAAAGCACGTGTATCATACTAGTTTCTATTTCAGAGAAATGGATTAGAAGGAAATATGCTATTCCCTGAGTTTGGGTATGCACATAATAGGCAGAAAATAGAAACACAATACCTAAGCTTGACCCTAAAATGGTGAAATCTATTTTACTCTCCAAGGGTTGAAGCTCCAGCTCCATAGCCTTGGGGCAAAACATGAAAGCCACGATAATATATATATATATATATATAT